TAAACTTTCACTCAATCCACAATTAAAAACCCTAAAAAAAAAAAAAAAAGGTCATTACTGGTGATGAGACAAGTGTTCATCACTATGAGCCTAAGATGGAAATAACCACAACTGTCGACCAAGAAAAAGTTCAAATGTTGACCATCAACTATAAAATTGATGCTTACAGTTTTCTGGGATTCTCAAGGGTCAGTATTGGAACACTATCAAGAAAAAGATTTAACAAACAACAGTGCTCATTACAATGAGATGTTCGCTGAAGAGCTGAAGCTTAAACTTCAGATCAAACACAGAGGACTGCTATCCAAGGGCATTGTGATCTTGTAAGCCAATACACATCTCTGCTCACATTGTTGACATTCTACAAAATACTTTGTTTTGAGGTGTTACAGCATCCTCCCTATTGTCCTGATCTTGCTCCATCAGACTTTCACCTGTTTGGCCCCCTGGAAGCAGTCCTTTAAGGATGAAGATTCACCACTGATGATGATGTGAAGACAGCGATGCATTTATGGTTCACAGCTCAGCCCAAAACAGCTTTTAATAAGGGAATATGAAAGCTTCTTGACAGATGGATAAAGTGTATTGAAAAGCAAGTAGAGTATGTCAAAAAATGATGTATTTGTCTTTTCTAAAAGTTGATTAAAATAAATTCTACAGCCAGAATGGAATAATCTTTTACTCACCCTTATACCATGGGCATCTGTAAGTCTACTCCATTTGCTAAATCTCAAAAATTCAGTGGCAAATGTTTCAGTGGGAAATAGATATACTCAGAGAAGCCACAGAAAAAGAAGAAAAGACTTGGCCTATGGTAGGAATTTTCAAAGAAAAATAAAACACTTCCACCAATCCAATTTCCTAGTAGCCTCCATGTATTTCTGTTTGGTAATGCTGAATTAGAACCTCACACACACACAAATACCAGGTGAGCTAAGATTCTATTCAGTCTCATCTTAGAAGTAAATTCCACAGGTAGTTCTTGTTAATTTGTGCTCTGAAAATTAGATGTGCAACTGTTTTCTAAAATTAGAAAGTCATACATATATCTAAAAGTATGTCTAAAAGACATTTATGAGTATAATCTTTACAGATGGTAGGCATTCTATGGTTAGATCAGGATTGGCCAAACTATTCAACTGTGAAAGAGATGCACAAAAAAGTGGTTTTAAAGGCAAACAAGGATGGAAACGCTGTAGACTATATTTCCTGCTTAGAGAGTTACCACAGGCAGACATATTAAAGGCCCAGAGAAGTAAAGAAAGTTGTCTTCATGTTATATGCTAGTGGACCACAGAACATCACATCTCTGTATTTTGCAGAACGAGTTTGAGAAGCACTCCTTTAGAGAAACACATAAACAGACAATCATGGAGGTTAACCTTTTTGTACTCTGCCACTGTTTAGTCCCCAGATCAGCAACCCATCTCTTTACAGTCCCTTCATTCAGTGTAGCAATTTTCCTCCTTAGATTAACATAGGAATTCTGTAAGCAAACAAAAAGTAAAAGAGAATAATGTAAACACAACATAGCCATGTACCCAACTTCAGGGCGCATTCTAAGAATAAATTAACATTACTTTCTAAATATGGATTATCTAGTTCTGAGACAATCATAAAGTGAGATTCTACTAAGGAGCAATTAACCATTTACCAGGTTGACAATTTCTTATCCAAGAAAGCTTGCTTAGATTCCAAACCAATTTTTCTTGAGTGCCTCAACACTCACTTTTTTAATAAGATAAAATCAGATTCAATTGGCCAGTCCTGACAGAGAGACCCTGTGTACCCTACTTTGTCTTGGTGGACTAGCACAGGGAGGCAGTGTACTGGGTCTATGTAAGACAGTAAAGCTCAGTACACTTTCAGCATTGACTGGAAAAGTCATTGTAGAATCTGTCCACCTCTTGGTGAACACTAGAGACTGACTAAATGCCATCAGCAAGGAACCTCCCACACTCCATACCCCAAAATAATGTAAGTGAGTCTAAGGAAATCACCAATTCAATATCCAATAAGGATTAATGTGCTGATTTTTGTCCGTTAAACAATTAGACAATAAAGGATCAAGAATGTTCACATATTTTAATCTAGAGACTCAGTCTCAAATTGTGATGTTGGATTGTGGAAACTTTTATATTGTTTAAAATACCGAGTTGTATAACATCTTCTTCTTGTTATTGTTTATTGTTGTTGTTAGCTGCTTTCGGGTCAGTTCCCAATCATACCGACCCATTGCCCAAGAGATTGGCAATGGGTCCTGTACCATCCTCACAATTATTTTGTTTGAACCCTTTGTTGCTGCCACTGTGTCAATCCATCTCATTGGAGGTTTTCTTCTTTGATGCTTCCTTCATCCTTCAATATTTTGTCCATCATTGTTGTTGTTAAGTGCTGTCGAGTCAGTTCCAACACATAATGGCCCTGTATAGGGTTTCTGAGGAGTAGCTGGTGAGCTTTAACCCCACGACCTTGCAGTTCAAACGGCTTTGCAGTCTGGCGCGTTAACCCACAACGCCACACCAGGACTCCAGAGAATCCTTCAATATTGAATGTCAAGGCTTGAGTTTTTTCCTTCAGTTCTTTCAGCTTGATAAATGCTGAGAGTGTTCTACCCTTCTGGTTTTCTAATTCCAGGTCTTTGCATGTTTCGTTGTAATACTGGACTTTGGCTTTTCGAGCTTTCCTTTGAAATTTTCTTTACATCCCTTTTATTTCATCATTTATTCCAGTCACTTTGTTGTTGTTGTTGTTGTTAGGTGCCATCGAGTCAGTACCAACTCATAGCAACTTTATGCACAGCAGAATGAAACTCTGACCGATCCTGGGCCAACCTCACTATTGATCTTCTCTATATTCAAGAGCAGGTTTCAGAGTATCTTCCAAATTCCGTTTTGGTCTTTGCTTATTTTCCTGTCTTTTAATGGTCTTTTGCTTTCTTCCTGTATAATGTTCTTGATGTCAGCCCACAACTCTTCTAGTCTTTGGTCATTAGTGTCTAATGCATCAAATCTGTTCTTGAGATGATTTTAAAAT